GTCAGTGTTCACTGAACTCCTTTCTGGTAAAGGGCACTGATACATCTGCATGAGAATATGTGATACCATTTATGAAAGCAATTTGAACTTCTCTAAGTGTTATGTAAATGTTAGCTGTTGTTAGTTTACTCTGCATCTTTAATATTTTGCAAATACCTCGAGTCCCTATCTTCTTCCTCTCGTACTCCCACACATTATCATAGAATATTCTTGAATGCTTCATAAATATTATGAAATGACTAATTAATGTGCAAGTGCCCCTAAAGCACTTTTATAAATATGTTTGGTTTTAAGTGATAGAGAAATTTAGGAAAGAGTTATTAGTATGCATGCATAAATGTTCAGGAATCAAGTGTATATTGTACGTCAGCAGTTTACCCATAGGAAATGCATTTATGAATCCCTATAGTTTTTATAACAATATTTGTTTTCCTAAAACTGTTAGATTGTGTTTTATTCAGATAATTGGGTAAAAGTTTGGTTGTTTGTAAGCTAAGAGGCCTCACTCACTACAGCTTCCTATAGTAGTTATAAATAACTCTTCATTAACACATTTATTATCTACGTATAGTCTGTTAGATTCCCCCAAATCTCACACTAATATACCATGAAGTGGAGCTTCTTGACCCGGGGAACTAAAAAGGTGTGGTAGAGGAAGTGTCAGGTATTCTTGCCTTTTTGAGGGAAGTTATTAAGTTTTTGTAGTTACTGAGTTTTGGAACATTATAATACTCTTTGAAGTTGTCCTTAATAGGCTAATTACCTCATCTAAGGAATTCACATTTTTACTATGTATGACTCCAGGAAAAAGCCTTTCCCAGTTCTCCTCAGGTCTTTGAAGTTTAATAAGTCGCTATAGTATTTGAATTTATTTTCCACAAAATGCTCTATAAAGCAGTGTATTAAAAAAATAGGATTCCTTAAAATATAGAACATTTTGAAAGAAAGACAAATGAGTAGGCAGAAAAAGGCCAGTGTCAAAAAAAGAAAATGACGCCCAAGAAGCCACAAGAGTAGTTCCCTGTGGTTCAGCTGGAGTTGGGAGTGGGGGGCGGCTAAACACATTTCTTTATAAGTCATATTTTAATTCATCTTCTTCAGCTTTATTAAAACTCTTAAGTCCCCTCAAATGGACCATTATTTCAGAAATTACTCACCCTAAGCATATTTTCTATTAAGTTAAAACAGACTCTGCTTTATCCTTTCTCTCTCTCCTCAGACTAATTAAGTTCATTAATAAAACATTATACAAAGAACTTCATTATCCTTTTGTTCTCACTTAGTATAAGTGGGATGCTAATATCGTTCTAGAAGGAGCCCAAGGATTTATTCGCTGCCTTTTAATTAGATGCATATCTTTGGAATTTTGCTAAATGTTTAAGATGAGAGGTGGGCGGAAGAAAAAGGGAGAATAGAAAGGATTATAGTCAACAGAATAAAATTCAGGCATCTTCCTGTTGGCCTTTTGCTGTCACATGTTATAGCTTCCTTACCTAAGAATGCCTCCAAGAGATTTGCTTTTCCAGAATGAGAAGGGTTGTGAATTACCTTATGTAGCTTTCTGTTTCAACTTTGGCCAAGATGTTACCATTCATGTCAGGCAATCTCAGACCCCAGTTGCCCTTCATTATGGGGTTCGGGGAGCACACCTTCTTCTCTTTCTTTGGCTGCTGCCATTGTCTGATTTAGCATTTGTCATTGATAAATTGAGAGCATGTTTTTCTCAAGATAAACGAGAAAGTGTGAGGGTCTGTGAGTATTTATTTGATGAATGAAATGCACACTTGTTTTCTGTCAGTTTCTAAACAATTTGTGCATGTGTCTAAAAGTAAATGATTTCAGTCCTAGCCCAGGGCATTTGGGAGCAAACCATGATCACCTGAAATGTGTTCTGTGGAGATTCCTGACCCTTGAGATATGGAAGGCTGTTCATTAAATAGCAAACAGCAAAGTGGAGACATAGGAAAGATGAATGAGGCTTCATATTTCATTTGTGACAGAATTATGGATTTTCTGAAAAACTTCATCAGCGAGGGTGGGAAAGGACACCCTCCAAGAGAACTGTATGTCCAATTACTTTATTCCGAAAATTGCACAGAACACGTTCCTTTTAGCTACTATATAGTTGTTTAGCACTTTCCTATATTAAATTGAGCCTCCTCAACCTAAAACAGAGAAATAAACGGAAGCTTAATGTCGCACATAAGATACACTCTAAATAGGTGAGATATCGTCACAGAGGCTGACTATTTGCTTTTTGTGTCTAGCCACATAAAACCTTTTTTTTTCTTTTTTTTTTGAGTCAGAGTCTTAATCTGTCGCCCTGGGGAGAGTACTGTGGCGTCATCATAGTTCACTGTGACCTCAAACTCCTGGGCTTAAGTGATCTCCTGCCTCAGCCTCCCAAGTGGTAGGACTATAGACATGTGCCACCATGCCCAGCTAATGTTTCTATTTTTGGTAGAGATGGGGTCTTGCTCTTGCTCAGGCTGGTCTCGAACTCCTGAGCTCAAGCGATCCTCCCACCTCGGCCTCCTAGAGTGCTAGTGCAAGTCTGTGCGTGAGCCACCACGCCTGGCCTGATGATGTAGTCTTGGTAAATAAGCTTTTGTTGTCAGATCTCAGAGTACTGTTGCCATTAAAACAATTGATTAGACTTAATGTGGTAGTATATTCACAATTAATTATTTCTTTGTTTTATCCTTTTTAGTGCCATGACTATGACTCTTAGGTTAGAAAAGATAGGTACCTGACAATATTTCAACTCGAAACATATGCATAGAGAAGTACAGAAGTGTTAGCTCCATGAATTTTCACAAAGTGAACACACCCATATAACTAGTTCGCCGTTCAAAAAACAGAACTTTTCCAGCACCCCAGAAAGCCTCATCCCCACCTCAAGAATAACCACTATCCTGACTTCAAACACCATGGATCAGTTCTGCTGTTTTTGCACTTACGTAAGTGAAATTGCCCTTCAATGAAACAGTGCACTGTATCGTTTTAGCCCTCTGATGAAGACACCGTTAGCCTCAATGTGCCGATGTCAAATATCATGGAAGAAGAACAGATCATCAAGGAGGACTCGTGCCATCGCCTTAGCCCAGTGAAAGGTCTGAGAATGAAAAGTGTGGAGAAAGTGCTTGCTTTACAGTTTCAAATGTTATGTTTAAAATTTAACATGTGCACAGATATGGCAGTGATAATCGTTAATGTTTACTTAGCACTTCCTATGCACCAGGCATTGTGTTCATCTGGGAAAGTGATCTCATTTAAAATTCAAAAGTCTGGGTGGATACTCTGATCATCTCCATTTTTTAGGAGACAAAAACAAGGCTCAGAGAGTGTAAGTAACTTGCAGTTAGTCACACAGCCACTACCACTTACTATAGTAAGTCGTAGAGCTATTCTCATTTTGAAGATTTAGAGAAAATTCTTTAAATCCATTCTTGCTTGGGAAGAAAATATTGATATGGTAGATCTATTAGTTAGGAAAACTCTAGCTGCTATAACGCATAAAATTCCCAAATCTCAGTGGCGTAACACAACCCAAATTAAATCCAAATGGGAGTTAGTGATGAGCAGGCAAGTTGCTTCCAATTGTTGATTCAAAGACCCAAGCTTCTTTCACCCTGTGACCCTACCGTCTTTAACACAGGGCTTCCAAAATGTCTGTGTCCCTCTGTTTTAATCCAGAAGAGGAAGAGCATGGAGGTTTGCTCATGGGAGGTTTTATGGGCTGGGTCTAGAAGGAGTGCCCATCACTTGTAAGCCACATCGCAACACACGTGAGGGTAGGAAATGTAGCTGAGGTGCGTGTTCAGGAAGCTACTTGACTTTGGACAAGTCAGTTGACCTTCATCCCCTCACCTATAAATGAGATGATTAAATTAGGCAATCTCAAAAGTCTTTTGTAGCTCTAAAATTGC